AAGTGTGACAATCCGTCTGGACAAACACCTGGTTTTCAGCCGGTTTTAAAATTTCTCTAAGCTCGACTCTGTCCAGGCAGGTAAATATTTGGTCGAGAAAAATGTTGTTGAAATTTGTCCGAATGAATTCCAGATTTACCCGCGCTTGTGGACGTTTTGACGTTCAATTTTAAAACCCCGCGCGAGTATCCTGATTAAATTCGGCTGCCTGTCTATTTCTTACAGAAAACTATCACGAAATCTTCGAATTACTAATCATTAATTTACAAATTTTTCTTCTTTCTACAAACAGAACAAAATATCCAGAATCCTTCTTTAATTTTTTAAATTTCTCTGAAATTTCACGACTGACTATATGGTTTGCTTGGCTCGCTAAAAATAATAAGCAACCTGACCGACCTGCTCGATGCAAAAATTTGCAAAAGGGTTCTCGAACGATCTTATCGGAGATGGAAGCGCAACGTTTCCACTCGCTCTCTTTATCACGACCTTGTTCTCTCCGGTCGCCTCGAGCGGTTCTCTCTTCCCTCGAATTAGTAAATTACGGCTGGCAATTACCCGCTGGTTAAACGTAATCATTACCACGGAAACGATCTTGACCGCACTCAACACAACTCCGGCTATCTTTCAGTGCCTATCCAAACGATCCTTTCAACCATTGTCCTGCATACTTGCTCACAAAAGTGTTGTAAATCTTGCCAACTATGGAGTGTCGGGGGACACGTTTAGGTTTGCAAGCAATTCAGGTTTGTAATGATCTGGCTTTGAAACGTTCAATGGAATTTTATTGCTCGTAAGTAGGATGCGGATTTTCAGATCTCTTGTAGAATTTAAAAAAGATTTACTTCGTTCACTGGTTCTATCTTATGTCAACATTTTATACTGATGTTTCTGTGTACATTACACACGTATAAATGCAATTTTCCACAAATGCATTAATGATAATTAATTACCATTCTAGAATTCAATATTATTTTTTGAATGCTAATTGTTCGTTATCGATATTCGTTAACTCCTGTTACACATTCAAAATGATTATTCATATTTTCATTTGCTGAAAATATCTCGCCACTTTTATATATAACAGAATATTTTGTGTAACGTACTCGTTTTCTCCATCACGAATATTTTCCAATTACAGAGGAAAACCTGTTATGGGAAATAGTTTATTCGTTGCATCGATTGGACAAGTGCTTCAAGCTCAAACAAGTAGATTCAACCGATCGTTCAGTTCAAACGAACAGGTCCACAAAAAAGTTTCCTACCCTAATCTCTTCGAATACACAAGATTTTCAAATACTTCTCGCCGTATTTGACATAGTTTCGCAGGTAGAGAACACCGTTCGAATCGCAGCAACGAGCTACAAAAAGGTGGGGGGAGGGGAGAGAGGAACCCGACACCTTCCTGCGTGAACTGAACATCTGTTTCCCAGCGATCGGATTTCAGCAACGAGAACAACCTCACGAAGGGTTCCTACTAAAAAAAAAAAACAAAAAAAAAAACAAAAAAAAACATACCTTCGTGCGCTTCGCTACCTGCCAAATTAACGCCTGCGAAATTATGCCGACTGCGAAAACCCACCTTCTTCTGCCGCCCGCCTCTGGAACTTTGAAACGCACGGCGACACCGAAACTCCGAAAAAAATTGGAAAAACCGAAAACGCACACCGTTGGGCACACCAAAAAAAAAAAAAAAATCATACGTGTCTGGAACACGTCTACGCAACGCCGAATGCAAATGATGAAAAATGACCAAAAACGATCGAAAAAAAAAAAATATAACAACAAACAAACTGCGTGTACGACAAACACCATGATAACGATGACGATGACAAACCATTGATAAAACAAAATTACCGATTGACCATCGAAACGACACGTGGGCAACATCACTGCTCGCCGTGTCTGTGATAACCTCTGTCTATGGGTTACACGAAAAAATATATAATAAAAAAAAAAAAAAAAAATTACACGTGTACACTTGTGTACGCGCAAATGGGGGGGAAAAAAAAATATGCGCGCATGCAACGGGACGAAAAAAAAAAATGATGGATTGACGGGGAAATTTGTACGATCAATCGCACGTATGAACGAAAAATATATACGTACGTGTGTGTACACGCAAAAACACACGGATGGAAAAATAAAAAAAAATTGAACGGAACGGGGGAAACTGAAAAAAAAAAAAATTGCAAATGAAAAAGCAGACGGCGACTATGCCGGCGAACGTAGCGGGAATGGGCGCGTTGGCTGGCGGAGTGTCAGGAGTGCCGGCAACTGCGGTTCCCGGAGGACTTCAGAGCGCCAGTATAGCAAGCATCGAACTCGGCAAGAAGCGGATGCGCGACTCCAATGATGATCTGCTAATGGTACCACGGCTTATGCATGGAGTACACTTTCCTTCTTTTTCTTCTCGTAGCTGAATTCTCGCGAAATTGGCCCGAACACTGTTCGTTTTTCTTTTCTCTGTCTCTCTCTCTCTCTCTCTCTCTCTCTCTCTCTCTCTCTCTCTCTCTCTCTCTCTCTTTTTNTTTCCCAGCGATCGGATTTCAGCAACGAGAACAACCCCACGAAGGGTTCCTAATAAAAAAAAAAAACAAAAAAAAAAACAAAAAAAAAAGGGAAAGAAAAACAAGAAACGGAAACCCGGGTCATGTTCACGTGTCATTTCCATTCCTCGAACATTGCGTGACTCTCCTGATCTAATCTCTCGCTCGCGATCTTTGTTCACGCGAGGAGGACCGTGAATTTAGGTTACACGCCGCCGTGTGGTTGGGAGGGAAAGGGAAGGAAAGAAGGAGAAAAAGATACGCCTCGTATAAATAGACGAAGAGTCTCGGCCGAAAGCGGTGGAAAATGTTGGCCGCTGGCCAAACGTCGCCGGATAAATAATTTATCACTATCGTGTAAACGTGAGTGGCCAGGCCAGCTGGTTTCTCCGTCCAGCTACTTATTCGTCATTGTCCATTTTCTCCTTCTCCCTTTCCAGCTTTCTCGTCCGTCTTCTTCTTCTTCTTCTGCTCTTTTTCTTCTCTCTCGTTTCGTACACGTCGGGATTCGCCGGCATTCACGAATTATTTTTACCCTTTTTAACTTTCGAGCGCTTCCTTCACTTCTTTCTCCCTTCCTTTGCGCGATGATAAATTTTCTCGGCGATCTTCTTTTCAATCCACGACCTCCAAACGATATTTCGCCGTATCGCGTTCCTCGGTGGGCGTGCGCTGCAGCGCGTGGCTGTTTGTTGAAACAACGTTTCAATCGCTCCGAAGATTTCAAACCACCGCGCAATCTCGCCACGTGTCCAATGACGTTCCCACCAACTTTTCGATCACACTGAACAAACTTGACGATCATCGGCAATTTCTTCTTAATAATAACCGACAGATTGTTGGAAACAAATATTGAAGTAATTCACTTATCACTCTCCTTGATAAGAAGTTTGAAACTTGCTGTTTTGTAATTGGAGCACGGTGTGAACACTCCCGTGATTCACTGTGCGCCATTAATATATATTTTTACACCGTATGTTTCAAGCTTCGCCGATGCGATCGTATATCTTATCTCGCTAGATATTACGGATTTTTATGCATTTATGGGAAATTGAACGCTGAAATGCGTATTATATAAAAAAAAAAGAAAAAACATGGAGTGCATATTATATTGTATAAAATATCGTAATATGTAGCGTTTGTAAAAGTTTAGAAGCGCACAGAAATTCGCGATAAACCTCCGAAATGTTCAACATAATATGCACGTTCATCAAATTCATCCGTGAGTGTTCGAACATTTCCCAGAGTGTTATGCATCAAGTTGTTCGGATATCAGCGAGCAAAGCAGTATAAATTCAGACACCTCGGAACCCCGTTTCGTTCACTCCTCAGATCGCGCTGCGTTTATTTACCTTGGCGTTGGGAACGCAACGCACATACGTAACGAAGAGGACGGAAAAATTCGAACGATCCAGCCACGATATCGATTCATCGAAGCGTTTGCGAAACGAATCTGGGAAATCTGGGTTAAGTGTCGTTACGTACGCGGAATTTAGCTCGAGTCAATATTGATTCAGCTTCCCGCGGTGTGTATTAACTCAGGATTTCGAGCTGAGAAACAAAAGAGGAGAAGGCTTGCCTTTGCGCGCCAATCCTCCTCGAATGCACGCTGATACTCGCTCGACGACACCGGCCAATTAAAACATTTTCATTTTATATAAAATTCTGACTCTGAATCGTGTGCCAAGTATTTGGCCAAGGTGAACATTATCATCTTCGAATTTTTATATCCGATTCTTCGAAGGAAATTTATTTTTATTTTGCTTACATTTCTTGAATGAAATTCGTTCAACGCTCGAGCATCGAGAATCTTTTCATCCTCAAAACTGCGATATTTCTGATTTTAGGAATCGATGAATGTGTTACTGACAAACCTAACGGGATTAAATATTAAAAACATGGCAGAAACAAATTCAATGACACGTTTCTGTAAGATACGTTACACAGTCGCTTTAAAAATTAAAAAAAAAAAAAAAAAAAGGAATGTCGGAACAAAATTTAGATCTGAAGAATTGAATGAACGTATGTGTGTACATCCCACTCAATGATGGTTCTTCACATTTTGATAAATGGCGGAACATTCGTAGGAAACACGTGACACGGAAAAGTGCGTCTAATCTTACGCTTACGAAGAGGCGTTATCGCGTTTCGCCACGATAGACGAAACAGTTATCGCGTTCGCAGCTTCCTGAACCTTCGCCCCGGCCCCGAACATTCGACGAAGCGACTCTCGCTGCAGCGTGGAAGAGGAGAACGATGAGGCAGCATTTATACGGCCTCGCTTTACACAGACTTTGCACGCGTAATCGGATAAGATCGCACCTCACAGAAATTCAAGGTGTTTCTCTTAAAGCGAACCGATATATCGCGGAGAAGACAAAGCCTTCAAAGTGCCTGGAGTCGAATACCGTACGTACGAGTGTAATTTTTTTTTTATTTTGGTCAACTTACGGACAGGAAAAAACGACGTCGATTTCTTTTGTTTTTTTTTTTCGAATCGAATCATCAAATTTCCATGTCGAATGTCTCCTTACCTGCAACAGAAAGAGAACACGCGTGTTAATGAGAGGTTCCTGATATTTAGACGATAATAAAAAATTATTTCTTAATTAGGCACGTAACAACGTTACGCTTTGAAATTCGATTTGTACGTCTGAATTATTTTTTCATTTGATTTTGGAGCTAAATGTCCGTATTGCTCTCTTGAATGTTTAAGATACAGCGTTTTTAATGATATCTCATACGTAGAACAAACCTCCATCGACGCTCTAATTTTCTCAAAATTTTCAAAAATGTGGCGAGATAAATAAGAGTTTGGCGGCTTTTGATGTTCCGTGTTTTTTAATAAAAGAAAATTCTCTCTAAATTCTCGCTAAATTTACCAAACTTTCATAATACAAAGATCTGCTAAACTAGAAACTTTTATCAAATTTTGATAATACGAAAATTCGGCGCTATCAAACGTTCGATCCACCGCAGATCGTTTGGACAAGAATCGCCCGCGAAATCCAGCGCGAAGGTTTCACCGAATTGCACAAGCGAAACAGGGACAAAGCGTGCACACGTCGAACACGGGGTGAATTTATTGTACCGTCCAAGTTTTGTATACGTGTACTTAGAGATAGCTGAGTACATGTGTGTATATCGATGGATAGATAAATTCATAGATAGTTCTCAAAGGGAGAGAGAAAGAGAGAGAGAGAGAGAGAAGAGAAGGAAGAGGAAGGGGAAAACAGAAGTTGATAGAGCTGCCACAGAAAGCCATTAACAAGTTCGACACGAAAGTCGGAAAGTTAGCGAAACTACCACGAGTCGCTCGTTCGTGTGTTGGTATATCGTTAGTTTATAGAGCAAGTTCCGCTCCCTACTGTCATGCCACGTATACACGGTGTCCGATTTTAATCTACAAACACGAATTACCTACTTCTTGAGAATCTTTGATACTCGACGTAATTCTACGAATTTGATTAAATTGTTAATATATTAGTAATGTGTATGTTAATACTGTATTGTATTATAATATCATTACGTTATATTTTACAGTATGAATATGACATGTAGCACAATATATTGTCAATGATAGTGAAATATGTGTGCATATTGTAATATAGTAATATTATATATCGTATATACTGTATATATTATATATTGTATATAATATATATATTTTATATATTGTATCGTGTAATATATGTATAGCGTACAGTATAGTATATTTATTTTTAATTAAAATCCATCTGATGACTGGATGATATGAAAGACAAAGACAGGTTTTCTGCGCAAAAGGTTTTACAAAAATTTCACAAATACAATGCAACTTTACAATAGGTATAGAATAAGTATGTTAAAAATTATACAATTCTCCGTTTTAACAAATTTACATCACATTCTTTCTACTTTAACAACCATTCTTTTACACAAGGGGTAATTAGTTTACCACTAATTTACAGATTAAAGATCTTCAAAATAATATTCAGTTTAATTTCGTGAATTCTGTTAATCATCACATGTATTAATTACTGCGTTATATTAAAACAATAATATCAATCTACTCTTATTAATGTTAAACGACAATGTTGTTGCAGTAGATGTTAATACTGTTGAGCATTCACACAGATGAAAATCGGGCACCCTGTATATATACACGCAGAGAAGGCGGACGGCGGAGAACTTCGTGAAAACCGTGTGCCGGCAGCCGTAACTATTTAATTGATTTTATTTAGTCATCTCTCGTTCCCTCCCTTTCTTTCTTTCTCCGCCTCTTTCGCCTTTCGTCTAACACGGCGGCGTGTTTGCCGACGTGTCCTTCCACCCTTCCAACATTTTCAAGCATCGCAGAAACTAGTATACTACCACCGGCGGGAAACCCTGTCGATCTTACCACCCCTAGGGCTCCGATTACCATGCCCCAGAAAACCCTCTAGTACTACGCCAAAGGATTTAATCCACTGGAACACAACTCTCCCCCTCCACTCTCTCTTTTTTTCGACGACACGCTCGATAATCCTGTCCACGGACTTGTCGCCCCCCTTTTTTTCTTTTATTTTCATACGATTTATTCTCTACCGATTTTGTGCCGTACCTTCATTCTCTCAGAATGAGGAAACGAAAGTTTTCGACGAAATTCTGACTTTTCTTTCCTTTCTAACGAATCGAACGCCAATTTCTTTTTTAAATAATTATTTATTATATTATTATATTTATTTATATTTTATTTATTTATTATATTATTATATTTATTTATATTTTATTTATTATATATAGTATTTTATTTATTTATTATATTATTATATTTATTCATATTTTATTTATTTATTAAATTATTATATTTATTCATATTTTATTTATTTATTAAATTATTATATTTATTCATATTTTATTTATTTATTATATTATTATATTTATTCATATTTTATTTATTTATTAAATTATAATATTTATTCATACTTTATTTATTTATTATATTATTATATTTATTCATATTTTATTTATTTATTATATTATTATATTTATTTGTATTTTATTTATTATATATAGTATTTTATTTATTTATTATATTCATATTTTATTTATTATATATAATATTTTATTTATTTATTATATTCATATTTTATTTATTTATTATATTATTATATTATTTAGTATATTATTGCATTCAGGTCTGGTGGACAATTTTTCAGCCCTGAATTTTTCAAAAATTCTTTCAATTTACAATACCGATACCTCGAAGTTTGGACCGTTTCTTCTCTCTCACTTTTCTCGCGCGAAAATTGCTTCGCGCGAAGACTCGAATTTCAACGAGACCTGCGGGGGAAAACTGCGGAAAGTTCGCGGGGATCTCGCGAACGAGGAGAATGTGACCAATCGGAAAACTTGCGCGACACCACCCGGGGCGAAGTTTTCGACGCGGCGCCGACAGGGGAAACTACGCCAGTCGTTTAGAATTGTGTCTGCCCGGCGAAACTGGCACACAACTTTGCGAAACAATATGCTCGCACTTCGCGCCGAGGCGAGGAACACACACGCCCATCCCCGCGTTCCTGAAATCTGGCGAAACTTCGATGACTTGTGTTTTACACGGTTGTTACGCCAGTTTAATGTGAATTTATCTGTGAATATTTCACCAGCTGCGCTGGCAACCGATTGCGGACCATAACGAGTGACCGTATACAATAATTCGTCACTTTCTCTACGAACTCGTCGCTGTGATATCGCTGGATAGAGAATTATTGAGAAGTAGTAAATTTATTATTTTGTTTTACTTAAACATACTTAAAACTGAGAAAAATGCTGCAAAATTTTGGAGCAAAGAAATTCTCGACGTGTGTGGCACGTCAAACTTCAACCGCACGCTCTCAGAAGGAATAATTTTCCTATTTTTTCCAATTGCCCAATGACGGTTACATTTGCGTTCAATCGCACTCGAATGGATTTTTCTTCGTTATAATAAGATTTCCGGATTTGGTTGATTGAGATAAAATTACAATATAATGTTGAGTTTAATCTCTTCGCGAGAAATTCGTTCGTTTCAGCGAATCATTCGGCTGGATATATCGTAGTAGAAACAAAGAGAATTTACAATGATAAAACAAATATAATTCCATGGAAATTAGAGTATCCAATGATATAATAATAATAGTAATACTAATATAAAAGTTCTTGGACAGAGATACGACGAAGCAACCAAAGCAAGAATTTTTTCAGCATGAAAAAACAGTTAAAGAAAAAGATCTGACATTGCAAGTGTAATTTGTCTATTAAAAGTAAACACAAAGGGCAAGAACTCGTGAAAGTCTCGTTCCTACGAAGTCACAGTCTCACAAAGTTTTACTCTTTACAAAGCTCGCGAAAGAAATGTTTCGCCTCGTTCATTTTTCCGCGCGTTGCGCGCATTTTTTCACATATTCGCTTCACGGAGGACACGCTCCGCGAGCTCCGCGATTTACAGAGAGAGAGAGAGAGACAACAGTCTCCCGTATAGTCGCGTTTTCATCCAGCCTCGAAAACGAATTACGTGTACGCGTTGCTCTCGGATGAAACGGGCAGCAGCACGTGCCCGACAAGTCGTGCCACTATTCCAGTTGCGCGAATAGGAACAAAAAGAGCCGTCTCAATAGCCGTATGATTATTGTCCGCGGTAGAAACTGGCACACGCTCGCTTAGGAGATCGCGGACGAGAATCAGGCTAACGTTTTCCTTTGCGAGCTCGCATAAAAGCGAAACACACCGAGGACGCGTACGTACGTGGCGGAGGTGAACGTGGACGTACGTGCATACTTGCATCGGCTGGTTTCCTGTCGCTCGTGTGTATGTATCGTTATGTATCACCAAGTTTTCATCCTTTAAATACACGCTCCTTTTGAACACACTCGCTCGCGAGAGTATTTGGACGATGCCTTACATCACAAAGAAACTTTGTACGAAACATTTGGAGGAAATTTTATTCAGGTGCAGACTGTATAGACTCGGGAATATATATTGGTCAAGACTGAAGCAAATGGCAATTACGATTGTTAATAACTGTGGTGTGATAAATATTTACTCGTTGAATGTAAACATGTGTATAAAGTAAATATTGATAGATATTTACTCATTAAATGATAATCACATTGAAGTGTGAAAAATTAGTACATAATATTTATTAATATAACGAAAAGCATGAAATTAAACATTAACCAACGTAGAAATATAATTCTTTTGACAAAGAAGTACTTTCATACTTGCATTAAATGCCTCAGGCAATAATTTTTACGTACGTTTTGTACAAACTTAATTCAACCCTGAACACAGTCATAACATGCCTTCTTGTCGTTAATAATAAAATATAAATATCAGAATGAATATTAATAATGAAAACGTCACGATATTTCCATACAACGTGTACGATACACATTCTACGAGCGTTCTCGCGTTAAATTCACTTCCGAACCCGACTCTAATAAAATTACTTCGTTGTTAATGAAAATACATCCGTGAAAAAAAATAAAAAACAAAAAAGAAAAAAAAACTGAACTTTCCAGA